AGGGAGATCTTATTGTTGAAAGCAGTACATAACATTCTAAAATTTAGACCTGTAATTCTTTAATAGTTGTGAAGAAAGTTTTGCATCACTGCTTTACAGCTCGATTCATACAAACCCTAATTTAACAACGAGCTTAACAATCTCCTCTTCAAATGGTATAGATGTTTTCAAAAAATGCATTCTATCAGTCTTTTTTCAAGACACCACCGCAGCTACAAATAAATTATCATTTGAATCTAATTTATTTTGAGAATTTCATTTTCTGCTCTATTCAGGAATTCCGTCGCGTTTTCATTCCGAAGTCAGTACACTGCTCAGAACGACCAGTCTCAGTACGACGTCCATCTGATACGTACACGAAAATGTCGTATTTGAAACCAGCGGAGCTATATGAAAATGGATCCTCGTATTCAGATATAGATAGATCTTCCAACGTCAAGGTCGGTGAGCATTCACACTTCTTTTCTTTCAAAGTAGTAGAACTACATTCTGAGTACTAAAATCCCTTGATATGTAGCATGAACAATTGCATTCCATTAGAACAAAAAAATTAAGGCAATAAATATGTTTTTCTAAAGTATTGTCAAAGTGTCTATAGTATTTTGCACTCAGCTTTGTGTGACACTCATTGCAATGTCTCACAGAGAAAAAAGGATCCCTATGAATGCAGATTAAACGGAGTACTGTACTATAACAAATTATGTTCCATCCAATGCAGCTATCCCACTTCTAGATTTTAGCAGAAATGTGCCAATTTAAAAGGGTGAGCTGCTTACTACTCAAAGTACCAATATGAATGTGAAAAATTTCTGAGAAATCTCTATGATAGTTGCCCTTTTTTCAAGTCTCAACACCTAATGAGGGAAATGAGTATACTTTGACTGGTAACTCAAGCACACACTCTTCCAAGGAAATCTCTCTAAAAAGGTCAGAAGCAAGCTCAAGCGATTGACTGGACAGCTAAATTCTCATAAACATGACCTCCCTCGTACAAATCTACATAAACGAGGCTAGAAGGTTAGAAGTTTAGCTCCATTTTTATCTATCTGACACATCTCCTTCCATATTCTCCAGAATGCAACCAACTATTGTGAGGTTTTCTTGACTTTTTATAAAAGCACAAGAAGTGCTGTCGTTATGACGTGTAAGGCAGCAAACATCTATTTCCTATATGAACCGTGAAAAAAAATGAATTCCAAAAAGCTTTCTTTGCAATTGAGTAACATTTCAAAATAAGATGTATTAGATAGAAATCCCATCACTTCTTTGGTATGTAACAAAATTTTATCGGGGGCGATTTTATTTCGTAACAATTTCCGAGTGATGCACAACAAAAACATGACCATCACACTTTAATGATTTAGATCCAAAGTTTATTACATAAAAGGCTACACTTCCTATATAGGAGAATTAACTTGATTCAAGCTCCCTTTAAAGGCGTCCATTGTTTTCCTTTAAAACTGCTTATACACTTAACATCAATGTTATTGCAGACCTCTTATCATCGCAATTGTTTCCAGGAAATAGCTGAAAAGAGCACAAGCCGGCCGGAGATCTCACGTATGACTCCGTCGCCAGGGTATACATCGTCAACAGCCGAGGAGCAGCACCCAGAAGAAGACGAACGATCTCGTCTCATCAATATTCAAAATGCCATTACAAACGGCAGCATAAAGGAACAGCAATATGAGAACATCTAAAAAATCTTGAGGAATTGATACTTACTTGTCTGGCGCAGAAATCCAAAAATAACTGATTCTGCGTATCTACTAACGAGTTGTCGTCGAACCTCGACTGACTGTTTTTGCTGAATATGGAAAGTTCGTCGACACTCAGTCGCTGCCAGTCTAGACGGATTCTCATCAGCCAAATTCGCTCTAAGTCACATCTGAATATCTCAGGACCAATTTTCTCTGTGTTTGTTTAAGCCGTCTCGTTTTTGTTCATTTGTCATATTTACTTGCTATATTTTTGTGGATATTGCCACGTTCCGGGTTGATCGATATTCTTTGAACTTAAATGTAAAATAATCTCTGGTGTTTAGTAGAGACTTCTCCCCAAGATTTCCACTTAACCAAATTTTTCTCGCTGTATATGTAATCAAGGCAGATTAGCTACGCAGATCTACTGAAAAAGGCAGCCACTTGAATTTCGTTCCATATGACTTTATTAGGGCATTAATTTGGGCCAATGGCTTACGGTAGCAAAAGTATCGGATTCTTCAAGACCCAAGTACTTGCTTTCTACTACATCTCTTTATGTCAATAGCTTTACTTTGTACGTTATATACTTAAATGGGTATTTGCTCACGCTCAACTCTGTGTAGTTGTCTTCCTTCAGGCCTCGGCACGAGGTCTCCGATTGGACTCTTCGAAAACGAATGACCCTTTGAAAATCATAAATT